CCCATATCTAATTTATATTATATTATCATAAACATTATATTATATATATATATATATATTAATCTTATATGAGTCACTATAAGTACTGCTTCGTACTCTATTTTCCATACCTTTTTTCACTTATTATATATATATATGTATATGTATATGTGTGTGTGTATAATATAAATATTAGTTATAATGTAGACAAATTTTCGGATTGACAACTCAAAGCAGCTAGCAAATGATTAGATTAATCACTTATCTATTTATATGTTTGTCGGAGTTAAGAGGAAATTATTATATATATACATATATATATATATATATACACACACAGATGTACATATACATGCATGCACTTTATATTGCAATAGGAGAAATTCTGTCTCATGTTAAATAAGAAAATTGAATAAATTATTACAAAATTTTAAATTAATAAAAATAATTGAACTTTCAAGAAAAAAATATTACATATATATATATATACATTGGTTAATTAGATAATACATTTATATCAATTAAAATTTAATAAAAATATAATTTTTAAACGAGATACATATATATTTAGTAAAAAATGATTTAAATATTAATATGTATAATCAAATATAAAATAAATTCAGCAGGCTTAATTATATGATGGTACGTACATACATATACATATATATTTATTAATTAAATGATATATATATGTTAATTAAAATTTAGTAAAATATAATTTTTAAATAAAATATATATGAGAGTAAAATCTGAGTTGAATATAAGAGATCTTATATAGAAAAAAAGAATGAAATAATTATTTAATTAAATAATAATTGATTTAAACATGTATATATAGGTATAATCAAATATAAAATAAATTTAACAGGCTTAATTATATGATGGTAAGTACATACATATATATATATACATATACATATACATATATATATCAATTAAAATTTAATAAAAATGTAATAAACAGGATATATATGAGATAAAAATTTGATTCAAACCCACGATTTTATATAAAAGAAAGAATGTAAGTAACAATTATTTAATTAAATAATAATTAATTTTAATATATATATATATATATGTGTGTGTATATATATGTATAATCAAATGTAAAATAAATTCAACAGGCCTAATTATATGATGGTCAAAGAAGACTTACTAGTGGAAGAGAAAAACTTCCATTGATGATTTTATAATTCAACTCCACCCTCTCAACACTCTTCTTGTCAAAAATAGACTTTGAATTTGAAATTCACTTCCCTAAATTCCAGAAAACCAGAAAGTCTACCAAGCAATTTATAATTTCTAATTTCCAAAAAAAAAAATTGTATTTTTTTAAAAAATTTAAAATATTTTAACCGAACCCATTTTCCATTACCAATCTTTTTGGAGACCCAACTGTTATATAAGCATGTATAGTTACATATATTGTGTACATCATCTCTCTCTCTCTCTTTCTCTCCATTCTCCTCCATTTTTGCAAAGTCTGAAACTTTTAACCAAACCAGGATGGGAGATGTACTAACAGAGGAACAGATTGCTGAATTCCAAGAAGCCTTTTGCTTATTCGACAAAGATGGGGATGGTACGTACCCACCAAAATTACATTTCGAGTTTGTATATGCTCGAGTTTTAAATAAATTTATCATGTTTACGAAGGTTTCAGTTCATCTTATTCGTATATGATTTTTAAATGTATAACGAAGAATGATTTAATCACTTGTTTAGGATGCATAACGATGGAGGAACTAGAGATTGCGATGAGATCGGTAGATCACCACCATCCATCGGAGGAAGAACTGCAGAACATGATGGCAGAAGTTGATGCGGATGGGAATGGAACTATTGAGTTTGGGGAGTTCTTGAGCCTTATGGCAAGAAAGATGAAGGTAATAATTAGTTAACTAATTATGAATAATTATATTAATTATTAGCATAAATTAACCTTATTAAGTTCTTGATTAATTATAATATGCCTGGTGTTGAAATTAGGAAGCTGAAGCTGAAGAAGAACTGAGGGAAGCTTTCAAGGTGTTTGACAAGGACCAAGATGGTTATATTTCACCTAATGAGGTTTGACTTTCTCTCCCTCACTTCTTATACGCGTATATACATACATAAAATACTATATGTAGAGTATATGAACTTACATGTTTTTCAATTCTTTGTTTTCTATATGTTTACAAAAGTTATAACAAATAGCAAATAAGAGATGAAAAATTAATTTTACTAATCTTTTTTGTTAATATTATCAATTGATTTTTCTGGTATCTAAATAATTATACTTATTATAATATATATATATATACATATATATACATATTACTTAAGTTTATATTAAAAATAATTATTATTTTTGATGCAGCTGAGGCATGTAATGATCAACTTAGGAGAGAGACTCACAGATGAGGAGGCAGAGCAGATGATTAGAGAAGCTGATTTGGATGGAGATGGTCAAGTTAATTACGAAGAATTTGTCAGAATGATGTTAGCTGTTTGATCTGATTAATATTGTTTAATTACATACACAATATATATATATATATATATGTATTTGCCATCAAGTAGTATTTACATGCAAATTGAGATTGTTTTATAATTTTTGTTAGACCAGTAAGTGTTTTCTTCATAATATATATATATATATACATAATTTATCATCAGCACTTTCACATATTCAATATATTACCTTTAGATACAAGCATATATATATATATATATATATATATTATCAAGTTTCTCGAAAAAGAAAAAAGAGAAACATCATGGAAATTCAACCAAAAGTTGATTTTTTTTAAAAAATTTGGTCTTCAAGATATTATTCT